AATCCTTTCAGCTTAATGGAAGGTAAATCACCAGTGCCTTATACAGAAAAGTAAAAAAATGAGAGCTAGTTTCTTTGAATTTTATGGAGAAAATGTGAATGTGAGAAGGGAGAGTTAGTAGATCAGACAGCAATACCTTGCCTAATGACAGGCACAGGACTAGTATAATCATGGTAGAGAATCCCATTGGCCAAAATTAGAGATTTTCTCAGGGGAGCAGGCCTTCCCTCTCCTGAGGAACAGCCATGAGAAACCTGGAACATGGGTGTCAATGACAGTAGAATTGGAAGGATTCTGATGCAGTTAAGATAGGCAGATGAAGAGCATCAGTGGAAAAGTTTTTTGGACTTTAGTGGGGTTTAATAGCTGGTAGCCCAAATATGTCGTGGCAAACTTGTTTACAGAAACTTGAAAAAAATGTTTTGGGAGTGGCGAAACACAAAGTAGGCTTATTCTTTATTTGTGGGATCTGCATTTCAGTGAAGGGAGTAGAGCTTAGTATTCTACATGGACATAAAATTAAGGAAATTGGTAGAGATAGGGTGGTAGAAAATGAGATCAGATTGGAATAGCAAGGGCTTAAAATGCAAGAATCTAAACAGAAAATAAGACAATTTCTATTTTTGTGTGTGGGAATAGAGAAATAAAGTTAAGTAGAAGAGGAGTTTGAAGGTGAAGATCTTGTGATGATGAAATCTTGACTTCAAAATATGCGCTATTCTATATTCTATATTCTATATTCTATATTTCGCTTAGATAATTTTTTTCATTTAAGTGGCACAGTGGATAACACATTGGACCCAGAATCAAGAAGACTTAATTACAGATCTGGCCTCAGTTACTATCTGTGTCATCCTGGTCAAATCACTTAGCCACACCTGCCTCAGTTTCTTCATTGGTAAAATGGAGTTGTTAATAGCACCTACCTTCCAGGGTTGTTGTGATAAAATGAGCTAATTGTAAAGCTCTTTACAAATCTTAAAGTGCTACATAAATGCTAACTCTTCTTATTGAAAGAGGAACTCACTTAAGTATCTAAGGGCAAAAACCTTTTTTTCTTGCCTTTTTTTTTATCTAGAGCACTACAGTTAGTCAGGAGACATGGGTTCTAGCCTTGTCTTTCTTAATAGGCTGTATAACCATGGGCTCTTAACTTTATGGCCTTGGTCAGTCCTCTGTAAAATGAGGTTCATTAAACTGGATTATTGGTAAGGTCTTTTCTGGCTGTAAAATTATGTGACTGTATTTCATCAAGCTGTAGTGATAACTTGTTAAGCACGGGTTTGTGAGGGCAGAATGTTGGATATGGTTGTTTTTTTTTTAACACGTGATTATAATTTGGGGAACTTGGTTTTGCCTGGGGTGTATCAAAATCCAGGTAGTAAAGAACTATGGCTTCTAGTATGTAATCCTTAAATGTCTGTATCTATATCTATTTCTATCTAAGTGTGAAATTATAAAACACATGTATAAAAGTATTTTATTTTAAAAAATTCTCATCGTTAGAATGAAAACAGAATACTTTACTGAAAGGAAAGAAATGGGGCTAGGTTGTATGATTTCATAAGATCCTTTTAAATTATAAAATCTTTTGTATTATGCTAATGTACCCATTTATCCAGTGGTCAGATTTCTGGCATCCTTGACCATGTGGAGCACAGAATTTTATTCTTAACTGGGAGGGTTGGAGGTGGAGGAGGGGAGTCAGGCTTAGCCTGTTGATTTAGTACTTTCTATGAAATTAAAATCTAATGATTTAAACAAGCGTTACTATTTGTTTTTCTCTTGGTAACTCTCAGTTCTTTCTTGGTTATAGCAGACTTGCTGAGTGATAGATGGTTTGGAGTGTTGAGGGGAGAGGACATGTCTTTTTAGAGCAGGAAGAAAGGAAGAATAAGAAAGACCATTTAGAAAAGTATAGCTCTCTGCTGAGAGAGAGAGAGAGAGAGAATATGAGAATGTGTGTGTGTTTAGCCAAATAGTTAATAATAATGTAATTAAAGTTAATTTAAATGCTACTAAATACATTTTGTATATTAGGAAATATTTCCATTAGAAAATTTTAAAATAAAGAGTTCAAAGAACAGAAAGCTCAATTAACTAAAAAATTGATGCATTTAGAACACTACAGATAGCTGACATGTCATGCATCATTTTTCTTAGTGTAGAGAACTAACATACTGGTGATACAGTTAGCTTAAAAAATTAAACCTCTTAGGAATTAGATTACTAGGAAGAGGCTTACTGAAAATCTTAAATGTCCTTATTCAGAGTTTATTTATTGTGGTAGCACTATATTTTAGTTAGAAAATAAACTAAGTCCCAGTGTTCTCAGGCAGTGATATCTGGTCCAGGCAGTTAGACCAAAGATGGCACAACCTTCAGAACCTGCCGCATCACTGTTTCAGGGTTGACTGTGTTTTGAAGCCTTGGGTTGACTTATGGGTTAAGCATGCACGTGACTCTTTTGAAGTGTTGGGTGTTATCTGCAGGCATTTCTGTTTAGGTTTATAGGCTTGCAAAAAATTCAGAAATCAGGAAAGGAAAATGTTTTTCCCCTGAATCATATAAGATTAGTTTTTTCCAAGGTGAAAAATTGAGTTTGACTTTTTATTTTGCTTATATTTTTATTTTACGCTTGTGACTTTAATATCTTATTTTTAATCAACATCCATAACACAGATCATTTCAGTTTTTAGGTTAAAATTCTATTGGGGCATAGTTGTATAACTTTCATTGTTCTTTTCCTAAGACTTTTTGCTTCCAGGTGGAGAGTAACCAGGAATCTCATACTGCCTGGCATCACTTATGGTTGAGAGTGATGGGATTTTTTTTTTTAATCTAAAGCAAAATAATAAAACACTTTGGCTTGAGGAGCTGAATTAGTTCAGGGAGCATACTTCCTTATTTAAATTACGTTTGTGGGGCAGCTAGGTGGTGCAGTGGATATATTCGGGAGGACCTGAGTTCAAATGTGACCTCAGACACTTGACACTTACTAGCTATTTGACCCTGGGCAAGTCACTTAACCCCGATTGCCTCACCCAAAAAAAAATTACATTTGTGTAATATCCACTCTGACATGATCATAGTGAGTGAAACATTGGATTTAGGGAGAGGAAGAAACAAGCATTATTTTGCACATACCATGTGGCGAGCACTGTGCTAAGTGCTGGGGATACAAATACAAGGGGGAAAAAATGGTTCAGACCACACACCAGAGCAGTAATGGGGAGATAGGGACCTAGGGGGAATGAAGCCTAGGGATATGGTTTTGAAGTCCAGAGGAATTAGAGAACAGGGCCAGGAGAAGAATGGGGGAAATGTACTACTTACCCTTACGAAATTTAGTAAGCTATTTTGATGACATTGACTGAGTTTCATTTTGTAAAATTGATCAATGATATCTTTCTATGAAAGCAGTAGCCTCTGTCTGCCTTTCTGTGCATTTATAAATTGTAAATGTACTGATGAAAGGGCAAAGGGAAATACAAAAGGTTTTGGTTTTTTTAACGCCAGGATTACTGTGGATGTAGTATTCCGTCTCTTTCCTACCCTCCAGACCCAGCCCAATTTGTTGAATAATTTAATTTCAATTTCCGTATCCCTTGGAAACAGGGAATATAATATGTCAGTATTAGAAGCAACACGATGTTCAACTAAAAAGTTAGATTGAAATACTGAGAAGGGAGCCTCACAGGCTAATAGGACTTTGCTGTTGTCATTGAACAAAGTTTTTTTGGTTTGTCCTATGTTTTCTTTGGAGGGGGGGAGAGGAGCAGGGTAGGAAATGGTTCAGAAAGTTTTATCAGCTTGACAGTTGATCTCCTTCTTGAAGTCCCAAGACCATTTCCACTGGCCTAAAATCTGCAGTTCATACTACCTGTTGTAAAATAACTTTCCTCACTTTTAAAAAAAGTGTATGGATGGTATTGAGATTTTTATGCAATTATGTTTCTGTTACAGTTAATGATTGTGTGCTTTAAGATTTAAATAAAAACAATAATAAACTTGTATTGTGTAGCCTTCTTTGTCAAAGCACTTTTTTGGACAACACGTATAATTTTTATTTTCCTAGATATGACAGATAACTACTAAAAACCAGGTAGTTAAAAATCACTCTACAGTCTTGGATTTTAAAACAACTCTGAGGTGCTAGCTCACACCTGTCAGATTGGCTAGTATGACAGAAAAGGAAAATGATAAATATTAGAGGGGATGTGGGAAAATTGGGACACTAGTGCACTGTTGGTGGAGTTGTGAACTGATCCAGCCATTCTGGAGAACAATTTGGAACTATGCCCAAAGAGCCATAAAACTGTACATACCCTTTGACCCAGCAATACCAAACCAGTGGTCTGTATCCCAAAGAGATCCCCAAAAAGGGGGAAAGGACCTTTATGTATGAAAATATTTATAACAGCTCTCTCTGTGGTGACAAAGAATTGGAAATTGGGGGGATGTCTGTCATTTGGGAAGTAGCTGAACAAGTTGTGGTACATGATTGTGACGGAATACTATTGTGCTATAAGAAGTGACCAGCAGGATGGTTTCAGAAAACTTGGAAAAACTTATAAGAACTAATACAAAGTGAAGTGAGCAGAACCAGGAGAACATTGTATGCAGTGACAGCAATATTGTAAGGATGATCAACTGTGAATGACATAGCTCGTAGCAATACAATAATCTAAGACAATTAAAACTCATGGAGTCCGAGTGCGGATCAAAGCATACTTTTGAAACTTTATTTTTCTTGGTGTTTTTATTGGAGGTTGGTCTGTGTTTTCTTTTACAATGTGCTAATATGGAAATATGTTTTGTATGACTGTACATTTATAACCTATATTAAATTGCTTGCCTTCTCAAGGAGGGGAGAAGGAAGGGAGAGCATTTGGAACACAAAATTTTTAAAAATTAATGTTAAAATTTATTTTTATATGTAATTGGAAAAAAAACATTAAAAATTAAAAAAAATAAAGTCTTGGATTTTTCCTCTTTAGGTCAATTTGACCCTGAACAGCATATGGCACGGAAGATATTGTTAACAGCAGAGGCAGAGGTAAGTAACCCCTGGCTTCTCCCAGAACCAAAGTGTAACAACTTTGTACAAAAATGATTGATGCAAAAAAGTCACAGGACTTGAGGGTCGAAGTGTGAAGTTGGGTTAGAAATTTCTAAACATATTGTGCCTAAAGGGAATTGCTAAAATGTTTTTCGGATGTCACTTTTGCCTCCTACAGTGGGCAAAACCAAGACTTAACCCTTCTGTAAGAAGAAAATTCTTTTTTTTATCTTCTTCCTATCCTAGTCATTTCCGTGCAGTTTTTGGTGATGGTTAGTAAAATGTAATTGGGTGTTCACAATAGGGCTTTTTAGCCTTTTTATTTTAGTCTTTGTGCTGTTTGGAAGATTTTTTGATGGTATCGTGTATTTAGAGCTAGAAGGAAGCTAGAGGCCGTGAAGTCCAATACCCTTATCTTATAGCTGAAGAAACTGAGGCGCATTAGAAAGTGACTTTTCTGAGACCACATAGATAGCTAATATCGAAATGGGATTTGAAACCAGGTCCTTTAGGCTCAATCCTGTGTTCTGTCCCCTGTGCCACTCTTCTGTTTTCAAAAAGCTTTGATTTTCCTTTTTCTGTTAAATTTCTGTCCCTTATAGAAAAGGAGACTTCAAATCTGAACTTGAATTAAAAAAAAAAAAACTTATCTACAGTTTAACTTGGTGAACTTCAGCCATATTCATATCAGCCATGAACAGAGAAGTAAGCAGAAAAGGCTGTGGAGCATTTGAAAAATAGTGGCCCGGGCCCTCCTGACCCAAGTACTTGACCAGAAATAGACATGTAGACATATTCAGAGGGAATTCTGTTGACTTATTGTTTATAAAAAATTTACTGATTTCACAGGTTTGATCATCTACCCCTCTGGTGGCTCTCCCTGATTTCCAAATGAGAGATTAGAGAAGGAAAGGATGGAAAAGAATTACTTGTAGGAGCAGACTAGCTGCTGTGGATGAGTAGGCAAAGAGCCCTCTGAGGTCCTGTACCTGAGTGGACCCTGTGTTGTGACATAGTCATTGATGGGACTGAGTCTTCAAACAAAGGTCATAAAGATGTCTGTTGAAATAAAACATAATTTTAGCACTTGATATGTACGAACTTCTGGTTATCTGTAAACTTCACCTATCTGATACAACCTCATTCTCTAAAAGTATTTCCTGATTGATTGGCATCCTCTCAGTTTCCAATTCTTTGCTACTACAAAAAAAAAAAGCTGCTGTAAATATTTTTGTGCATATGAGTCCTTTCCCCTCTTTCTTTGATCTCTTTAGGGTATAGCCCTAAGTCACAGGGTGTGTGTAGTTTAATAGCTTTTTGGGTATAATACCAAATTACCTTTTAGAATGGTTAGACTGGTTCACAGCTCCACTAACATTACATTAGTGTAACTATTTTCCCCTCCAACATCTGTCATTTTCCTTTTTTTTGTATGGAGTGGTGGTACTTCACAGTTATTTTAATTTGTATTTTTCTGTTACATCAGTAAAGCATTTTTTCATGACTACTATTAGCTCTTAAAACTGCCTGTTCAACTCTTTTGACCATTTATAAGTTAAGAAGTAGCTCTTAGTCTCATAAATTTGACTTAGTTCTCTTTATCAGAGAAACTGTCTGCAAAGATTTTTCCCCTGAAGAATTTTCCTGCTTTTCTTTTAATTTTAGCTGCAGTAGTTTTTGTTTGTGCAAAACCTTTATAAATTTTAGGTCAGTAAAATTATCCATTTTGCTTCCTGTGAACCTCTTCTCTGTCTCTTGTTTGATTATGAATTCTTCACCTGTGCATATATCTGACATTTCTTCCACGCTCCTTTAATTTGCTTATGGTATCACCCTTTTCTAAATTGTGCCCCCCCATTTTGAGCTTATCTTGGTAAACATTAGGAAATGGTGTTCTGTGCCTAGTTTCTGTTTACCTAGTTTCTGACTACCTTTCAGTTTTCCTAGCAGTTTTGGTCGGATAATGAGTTCTTGCCCCAGTGGCTGGAGTCTGTGTGTGTAGCTAACACTAGGTTACTGTGCTGATTTTATTGACTTCTGTTGTGTACTTAATCTGTTCTGCTGATCAGCCACTCTGTTTCCTATCCAGCAACAAATTGTTTCTGTGATTACAGGTTGTTAGTAAAGTTTGAGTGTAGTACTGCTAGGTTCCCTTCCTTCTTGTTCTCCTCCCTGCCCCCCCCCCCCCACTCTCCCCATTGATTCCTTTGATATTCTTGATGTTTTGTTCCTCCAGGTGAATTTTGTTATTTTTTCTATCTCCATAAAGTAATTCTTTGGTAATTTGATTGGTATGGCACTGAATAGGTAAATTAATTTAGATAGTATGGTCATTTTTATTATATTGCCTCAACCTACTTGAGCAATTAATAGTTCTCCAATTTGTAACTGTTCGTACAGTTCTTGTGTGTGTGTGTTGGCAGCTAGACTAGCAAGTATTTTATACTGTCTGTAGTTATTTTAAATGGAATTTCTCTTTATGTCTCTTCTTGTTAGGTTTTATTGCTAATGTTTTATGTGGATTTATTTTACATCCTACAACTTTGCTGAAGCTATTCATTATTTTGATTAGTGTTTTTGTTGACTTTCTAGGGTTTTCTAAGTAAATTATCATATCACCTGCAAAGAGTAATATTTTTTATTTCCTCAGCTAGGGTCTGTGCTTATTCACAGCTGCTCTTCTCTGCCCTATATCTGTGAACTGAAACTGGGTAGTGAGAGACAGAGCTGACAGGTGGCACTTGAATGCTAGTTTAGGGGTCCCCTGGGATCCCTTTCTGTTCTGCTGCTACCACCATGTTGTGCTTCTGGCCAGCTTCCACTCCAATGTCCACAGATATCTCTGTCTTCTTAAGCTGCCTTGGGCTGAAAAAATTATTCGCTGTGACTTTTTCTTGACTTTCCCTATCAGAATTTAGTCTTTCTGCCCTCTTGATGCAGCCCCTCTTCCCACCCACCTGTTTTTTTTAAACTACTTTTTTTGTGAGGTATAAACCAGCTTCATAAAAATTGATGACTCTCTATCTTACCTGATTTTTCAGAGGTATTAACATTAGATGAGTTTTCAGTTTCCTTCTTTCTCTAAAAGCAATATCAACCCTTAAAATTAATTTGAAAATCCATTTTTTAGGGTAGCGCTCTGAACCCTATAAAACCTTCTTGAGAATTTGGAACTATATTGGTTATGAGCAGTGTAATCTCAGAAAGCAGAGCAAAGCTATGGAGAGTAAAACCAATTTAGACATAATTTGGGAAGATAAACAACTAAAAGCCATCTGGCATTCAAAGATGTAACTGGAAAGCAGATTATATACAGAAGAAACATGAAAAAGATTTACAACAATCATTTCAACAAACTTTTCTCCATCAAGAGTAGTGGGACTGCCACATGTGGGCCCTAACATCACTATCCCCAAAATGCTTCCAAAGGAGGTAGAAATGTCACTGTGGGGAAAGGAAGCAGCCAGAATGGATCATGTATAGAGACTCTGTGCTGCAAAAAGTAAAATTGTGAAGGCATTGAGGGTCTGAAAGACAAGGTGCCTGTAGGAGTGACGGTATGGAAAAAAGAGTATCAGTAACTACTGACCTGTAGGTCTACTCTACCATCTGTACCAAGACCTTAATGAGCTTCATGAATAAACAAATTGAGTGTATCCTTGATGAGGGCGTTAGTAGTTAGCAATGGACTACAGCTTTTCCATCTCAAATAAATCAAGATTACTCAGGACTCCTTAGAAGATGCAAGGACAGAAATGGCCCTGTTTATTCATTCAGTCAATAAACATTTATTAAATGCCAAGCCTTTCCAGGCAGAGGGTGAAAGGGCTGGGAGTACTAGAAGGCAGGGAGTAGTAGAAGGTAACCCTCTGATAATAAATATCACATGAGGCATAACACAAGTAGGTGTAGCATTGGGCCTGGTGTATGTATCCCTCTGAACTTTGAAGACGATGCGGGTCAGAGTTGCATAGGATGAACAGGCAAGGATAGCATGGAGTCTGCATTGTAAAAAGAAATTGCTGAACCAGTGAGATCATAGATCCATTTGAAAAATGAGTAGCTTGATGAAAAAGCCTTAGGCTTATTTTTTTAAACAATCAGTCAGTAAATATTAAAGACCTATTATGTGCCAGGCACCTTGCTAAGCAAAGGGATACAAAAAAAGGCAAAGGATAATCTCTGTTCTCAAGGAGCTTACAATCTAATGAGAGAGACAACATGCAAACAAATATGAACAAAACAAGCTGTATGCAGGCTAAATAGGAAATAATTAACAGAAGGAGGGCACTAGAATTAAGAAGATTGGGAAAGGCCTCTTGTGAAATAAAGGATTTTAGTTGGGACTTGAAAGGAATCCGGAAAGCCAATAGACAGAAATGAGGCAAAAGATCATTGCAACCTGTAGCTGAGAGAAGGAGTATTTTACTGGTAGACTAGCTAGGAAGCCAGTGTCGCTGGATTGAAGAGTGCTTAGTGGTGAGGAAAGTGAGAAGATTGCAAAGTGAGGAAAGGCTCAGTTAAAAGGGCTTTGAACCCCAGACAAAGGATTTTACATTTGATTCTGGAGGCAATAGGGAGCCATTGGAGTTTGAGTAGGAGGGTGACATGATTGCATCACTTAAGTGGCTGAATGGAGGATGGATTGGAGTGGGGAAAGACTTGATAGTCAGACTCATCAGCAGGCTATTGCAGTAGTCCAGGTATAAGGTGATGAAGGGGCATATGAGATGTTGAGATGTAATATGTGGAGATGAAATCGCCAGGCCTCGGCAACGACTTGGATGTGGAAGGGTGAGAGTGAGAATTCCTAGGTTGTGAACCTGAGGCCTAGGAGGATGATGTCACCCTGTAGAGTAATAGGGAAGGGGGGGGAAGAGATAGGGAGAAAGATAGTAAGTGCCATTTTGGATGTGTTTAAGGTGTCTATTGGACATCCAGTTTGAGATTTCTAGAAGGCATTTGCTGATGTGAGATGAGAGTTTAGGGCAGGATAG